TGTCCCTGTCCCTGTCTGTGTCCGTGTGCCTGTCTGTGTCCCTGTCCCTATCCCTGTCCCTGTCTGGGTCCCTGTCCGTGTCCCTGTCCGTGTCCGTGTCCATGTCCATGTCCCTGTCTGTGTCCGTGTCCCTGTCCATGTCCGTGTCCATGTCCCTGTCCCTGTCCGTGTCCGTGTCCCTGTCCCTGTCCCTGTCCATGTCCCTGTCCCTGTCCCTGTCCCGGTCCCGGTCCCGGTCCCTGTCCATGTCCCTGTCCATGTCCATGGGCCTGTCTGTGTCCTGGTCTGTGTCCGTGTCCCTGACTGTATCCATGTCCCTGTCCCTGACTGTATCCGTGTCCGTGTCCCTGTCCCTGTCCCTGTCTGTCTCTGTCCCTGTCCGTGTCCCTGTGCATTCCCAGCCCCATGTCCGTGTCCCTGTGTCCGTCTCCCCGTGTCCATGTCCCTGTCCCTGTCCATGTCCGTGTCCATGTCCCTGTCTGTGTCTGTGTCCCTACCCATGTCCCTGTGCATTCCCAGCCCCGTGTCTGTGTCCCTCCCCGTGTCCCTGTGCATTCCCAGCCCCGTGTCCCTGTGTCCGTGTGCATTCCCAGCCCCGTTTCCATACCCCCATTCCACGACGTGTGACTCGTAATCCCAATATTCCCGAGGCCTCTGTGTGTTCACATCCGCGTAGACCCTGGCCCGGCTGGGCACGGGCCCGGCCATGATCCCTAAAAACACACACAGCAGGGATCAGACCCGGGATACCAAACCATCCCAAACCATCCCAGTGATCCCAGTGATCCCAAACCATCCCAGTGATCCCAGGGAACCCAAACCATCCCAGTGATCCCAAACCATCCCAAACCATTCCAATCCATCCCAAACCATCCCAGTGATCCCAAACCATCCCAGTGATCCCAAACCATCCCAAACCATCCCAGTGATCCCAGTGATCCCAAACCATCCCAATGATCCCAAACCATCCCAGTGATCCCAGACATCCCAAACATTCCCAATCCATCCCAAACCATCCCAGTGATCCCAAACCCTCCCAAACCATCCCAAACCATCCCAAACCATCCCAAACCATCCCAATCCATCCCAAACCATCCCAGTGATCCCAAACCATCCCAGCCATCCCAAATACCCCAGTGATCCCAAACCATCCCAAACCATCCCAGTGATCCCAGGCATCCCAAACCATCCCAGTGATCCCAGCCGAGCGCAGCTGTGGCAGCTCTCTGCTCATCCCAACCAGCTCAGCATTCCCACTTTTCCCTCTGGCTCCCGGGTTTTCCCACCCCGGAGCCGCGGGACGCAATCCAGGGAGGAACGTTCGGCTAAAATAACAAGGAAACGGGAGCTGGGATTCGGGAATGAGACGGAATTTCAGGATGTTTAATCCCTAAGAATTGGTTTGAACGGAACTGGGGCTTCCAAAGGCTCAGGAAATAACCGGGAATAACCGGGGCCATCCCTGAATCCCCGGGGAATTGTGATCCCAGGGGGATCCTGCCGGGAGAAATGTGGGAGCTCTGGAAAAATGGGATGTGGGGAGCTCCGGGCCCTCCCGGGGGTGGATTCGGGCTGGAACTTCAGGGGAAGCCTATGGAGATAATCCCACAGAATCCCATGGAATCATGGAATATCCCGGGCTGGGAGGGACCCACGAGGATCATCCTCAAAATCCCACCACGTCCCACGAAAAACAGGGAGGAGGGAGCGACCGCAGGGACGGGAGAGAAGCGGGAAAAGCAGCCGGAATATTCCACAGGGCAGCATC